AGGAGGGTAAGAGTACGCAGAATTATACATTAAATCGAATATACAGAAATATAGAATAGGGTTGGGACCTATCTGCATGCTCTGTATGTTTTGGTAAAATAAAAAAGCTCAGAATTTTTAATGATTTAATTTAAAATCACTTTGTTAAAAAAATGCCTAGTTAGTTCAGAAATTAATTATTTGTGGCTGAAAACAACTTGCTTCTGATTGGTCGGGCTAATCATGACGTCACATGTAGGTATATAACTGTCTGTGTATTTGGCGCAGTTGAGACATACATTTTCTATGCATTTTCCTATGGTAAATCGGAGTGATTGGTCGTGTTTTCAGTGTCTCTTTATTTTGCGCTGGTATTGGGTGGCTAAGAAGTTTTATCAAGAATGGCATATACTAAAATGTTCCTTTAATAATGGAGATTCAATATCTGTGAGTTTTATTGGCAAGCGAAAACTGATTTCGCTGTTATTTTATCTGGAAATTACTCATTTTTTTAGGTCAATATTCAAAATATTTTACGGGAACAAGTTGGCACTTTTCTTGAATTTTGCACTCAAATCGCGTGCGATTCAACTGTATTGGAACTTGCAAAGAAGCTTGGTGATTAATTAACTGTGTTGTTATGGCACTGTTTGCAAAGCATGGATAATGAAACTCTGCCAAAGACTTAGCTACATAGCAATGCCTCAAGTAATACGCAGGAGGGACAGAATTCAGAGTCCGATCGAGAAGAATCGGTGCAAATGCTACGAAGACCAGGCAGCTCTGATACAATAGCTAGTCGTCTCACTACTCTCACTCCATTAGACCAGCTGATTCCTGACAGCACCGACTCGGATGCAAAGATGGAGCTCATCTTCCAAGCCAGAAACCAGTTCTTTGATGGAAGATGTGATGCTGCCTCTGTCTCTGCTTTGTTGGCCACTTTGGACGGGGCGGAGCTCCGCTCCTTGCGTGAGCGGTTATTCGCCTGTCATCCAGAAATAGTTCCTTCGTTTGCTGGCCGTTCCCTGATTAGGTGCAATACGGGGAGCTGTAATCAGGGAAGTAACTTTCCATATGAAAGGGTGCAGGTGCACCCCCATCCCCCATCCACTAGAAGTGCACCCCCATAGGCTAAGCGGCACCCCACACGCCGCCCCACACGATTAGCTCTAGAGCAGATGGCGAGGGTGATTTCCCGGCTACATTCCATCTCGGCGTCGTGATGCTTGTGGGCTTGGAAAGCGTCCAGTCGTATGTAGGGTAGTGTAGGGGTAGGGTTGAGTTCAATATGGTCTTTACATTTGAAAGGTGTGAACAACCCGCAATCAGCACAACATACCACAAGTTAAATAAAAAACTACCAAACTCCGCCCAACTAATATTAATAAACATTACAGCCAAACTAATGGCCTAAATAAAAATATACCTATCTCAAATCCTAACAGTTATCGCGGGTGATGGCGCCATGAGTTGCTATTATCCAAAACAGATGCAAATAAACATGTTTGTGTCCTATGTATGTTTGTTTTAAAAACGTTGCAGCGGCGCTGGGAACTGCAGTCTTAGATCTGGGTATGTTTGGATCTGCAACTCTTCATATACACATTAACCCTATTTCGGACGGGGAGGCCTTTCAGGATTTTCTTGTACAATTGCCAAACGCCGCGAGACATTCAGCTCATATTTGGTGACTTTTCCTAAATGCTCATTGCGCACATCTCAGCAAAAAAAAAAAAAAAAAAATGCCGGGTCAGGTCAGGTCAGGTAACCAGAGCGGGTTTGTTGACCCCACCTCAGAAAAGTTTGCAAACACGTCAGAGCTTGAGTTTTTCACGAAGTTATTTCCTCTCATCAAGTCTTCAAAACAGTACCTGCAGTATGTCTCGTTTGTATATCTCAGAATTTTTTATCTGTGACCTGAGGTTAGGTCAGAGTCGTGACCTTTACATTGCAAGCCTATGGAAAAGTATTGAAATGCGACCTGCACCTCGAGTAAACGAGTCAAAACCACCCAATTCTTTAACCCGCGCACCGACGGGGGGGGGCGGATATCCGCCCCCCCCCTGAGGTTTTTCGCGAATAGCGGGAAAACCGCGGCGCGTAGCGCCGCGAAATTTGGTATGACTATTCCCTCATCAATTTTACACATGGTGTGCAAGTTTGAACCTCCTACCTTTCAAGGTCAGGTCACCAGGTCACTTTGAATGACCCAACCTCAAGTCACTTTTTTGCAACTTTGTCACCGTGCCAGAGCTACAGTAGATGTCGGAGGCCTTTGAAAGTCGCAGGATGTTATTAGGTCATTAGTAGCTACAATTTTTATATCTCGGAATTTTGATATCGGTGACCTAAGGTCAGGTCAATTTCGCGACCTCCCCATTATAAGTCAATGGGGGAAAAATCAACTCCCTGTTTTTACCACTAAAACGGGTCGGAATGGCCCCATATACCATACATGACTTCATATACGATCAACCTTCACTACCTTGAGGTCTGTTTTGCTGTTGGGCAGCTGTGAGGTCATGTGACGTCATCAAAGGTCACCAAAGGTTTTCGGCCAATAACTCCGTACAGGAACAAGATACAGACGCGTGGATGGTCTCATTGTGTTCAGCTCGTCAAGACGCATCGAATGATATACATGATGACCTCGAGGTCACGTGACCTGAGGTCAACCTTTGACCTTGACCTTTCGAGGTCAACATATATATCATTCGATGCGGATTGACGAGAGGATCACGATGATGCCCTTAGTTTGTTCCTATCTGGACTAATTCGAAAGTTATTCGAGAAAAACTCTCTCCATATCCAGCGCCGCCATTTTGACTTTTTCGACCCCTGTGACGTCATCTTTGACCTGACCTAAAAATGACCTTAGTAAAAATTGTAGATCTTGACCGTGCGTATCCGATGCCGTTTACCGCTTGTCGCTATCTTGCTTCGTTCTCGAGATCTCAGGGGGGGGCGGTCATCCGCCCCCCCCCCCCGTCGGTACTAAGTTGGCGCAGACCCCCGTCGGTGCGCGGGTTAAGAATTATGACAAATTATCTTATCTGTATTGATCCAGGTGCCATTTACTGACAGGGACACCGGGGAGGGTTATCTGAGCCGAGATCATGTGAGGTGATATCTACCATACATCAATGCGCACAATACTTACAATATTGACAATGCTTTTCCTTACAACACTTACAATACTTCCGATGAGACCAGCAAGCACTCTGCCGTTACAGTTCTAACTTCTGTTTCGAAAACCGACGTTACACACATTCGCTGGCAGCATAACATGTATTATTTGACAGTAACAAAATACAATTGACATCTGAACCCCAAACGGACCGCCATCCACTCAAATTTTATAACACTGACCGGTCAGGGGGCGAATGGAGGTCATCTCCTGGGCATTACACTCAGCCCCTTGCACAAAATATCTCACCTCACAGTGATCATTACAACAATAGCACCGACTTGATAGTGGATTTCAAAGTACTTGCATCAGCTCTTCCTGCTATTGCAGACGATCATCTCCTCAGGGTAATGTTGTTCGGGACATGAACGAAGATCGTTTTCGGAGTTTCATAAGTGCTACTGCAACAGCCTGGCACAAAACAGGACTTGTACGCTCTTCTCTGCACTTTGCCCTTCAGTATATCACAAAAGAATTGTTTAGAATCCATCTTACGCTTCTTTCACAGTCTCCCTTGCCACCGTAGGGCGTAGATAGATTGCTGTTGCTGGTAAGTTAAGGCACGGTAGATAGAAATTACCTCGGTTCTCAACGCCTTAAGTTATTTTCATAAAAAAGAACAAATAAATCATCAATAAGATGACAGGAATGTAAACATTTTAATCGTAAAGTAGTCCAAATATTGGAATGAGCTTTTGCTTTTCAGCATCCTCCGATTCATCCTCTTTATCATTTGAAAATTCGAGGTACATAAAATGTTTATCACGCGCTCAATGTTAAGTGGGAATATAGTACACGGCAGACACATCAATTTTTGACACTGAACATTTCATCCGTAAATGTTTTAGCATAATTTAAAGTTAAAAACAGCGCGAATGGCAGAGTGAAACAAACAACATCTTTCACCCATTGATATAACATGTAATCTGTGGTGCGCCAGATGCGCTATTATTTGTCAACCGCAGAAGGTGACATGTGACGTAACAGCATCAAGAGCATCTTTTTCAAGAACTTTTCAAAACAAGTTTCCTATCTTTCTTCCCCCATTTCTCTCAGCATATTGATTTTATGAGGCAATGGTATGCACCATAAATTCTGTGAAAATAGTTTGATCATTTTCATGCATTCTTAAAAAATCGAGTTCCCAACCCCATTATTAATCTATCGCTCAATGACGTTTGTTTAGTAGGTATATCATCAATGGAGCACTGTGATGCAGATGCGTACCCGAAATTCTTCCAAATACGAGTTATTCTCCTTTTTGATTGTGCATTTTTTTAAGAAACACACGACATGATTATTTCCTGATATAGACTTGAAAGATTTATTTTATGTTTTTCTTTTTGGATACTAGAATTAACTTAAATGCCTTCTGAGTTTGAAGTTAAGCATTTGGACAGTGCAAGCTGCATAGGTGTGTGTTCATATGCTTGCGTACTCCACCCGCCTGGCGTGCGTACTCTTACACACCCCATATGGTAAGAGTACGCAAGTGCAACGGTTCAGAAAATGTCAGTTTTAGACCACTTCCATTTACGCTGAAGGGTCGTTGCCCCATGGGTTGATGGCTAATTCAATGAACTTTAATATTCCCTATTTGCGATTTCTTTCCTTCAAATATTAAGCAAATGAGAGCAAGAAATCCACTAAGTGCGTACTCTTATACGACTTCACCCTACCACTCCAGATTATTTATATTGCATTACCTAATTTATACATACCTTGCTAGCACGTTAACCTCCACTATAGAAATTATGACTATAACAGCCCTTCGGCAGTTATCTAACCCAGTGTTACCCAGTGTGGTCGGCCTGAACGGTTCCCCACTAACCTGAAGGAACTGAAGTCGTGCCAGGAAGTCTGTGACGTAGCTACCGAGAGGCTTCAGCGACGGGTAGGACTTGGCGCGCCACATGCTGGGGATCTTGCCGGTCATACAGCTGGTGAAGACTTCCTCCAGTTCGGCGGACATCACCACCAGACCTGCCGGACGGCACGCGGCGGCGCCGGGCACGCGGTCAGATAATTAAATTACATGCTGTTCCTATATGAACCAAGCACACTACAACCTACTTCCATTCAAATAAAGCAAATAATAAGAAGCGCCCTTGTCATCAACCGACAGGAAGCCCTGACTATCCAGCCGCTCCAGCCAGGGTTTTCACCAGCCGCCTGAATGTAGACTGTACCGCACGGCACGGCTGTACTGCGGCACAGCCTATAGCGCAGTGAACGTTCGAAACGCGAAGATAAGACGTCATAGGGCGGAGGAATCGCGAATAGTTACCGAAAATGTGGTGAATTTACTTTCAGGAGGTGGTTAGACCAGAGTATACGAAAGTTAGCTGCTTTTAAATGCAAGAAAAAACGGTGTTTGTCCAATGACATAATCGGCTGCCAAGCTTCCAAAGCGTTACCTTGCACCATTTCCCCGCACGTCCGATGCTAACTATTTATCCCAAACCACGTCACCCATATCAACTCCTCAGAAACCACACCCCTTTACCCCACTCTCCACACTTCCCATTCTCTTCCGCTATCTGACCGACCTTTGATGGCCTTCTTCAGCGAGAGCAGGCTCTGCCTGATGACTGTGAGCAGCGCGTTGAAGCGGCCCATCTCCTGCACAAGCACCGTGTTCATGCTCTGCTCGTACATGGTCGGATACTTCTTCAGTACAAAGTCGATGTCAAAGTTGTCCGGCAGGCGCCTGACGATGTCGTCGGCGATGTGGTAGACGGCGTCGTCGGAGGCCGCGCCGCCGCCGCCGGTCGCCGCGCCCTGACCGAGACAGGTCAATGTTAGTGGTAGTGTGTGCATTACTGAGAATTCGGTCTGGGGATACCAACATTTACATTTTTGACATCAGTGTTGGCTCGCTCCTGCACTCTTCACCGCGGATGTTAAGTTTGAACAAACCCATATGTAATGGGTAGCATTTTCTCGCCCTACATTTTACTTACCGCTTTCGTCCGGTGTAGCTATACATGTGGTACTAAGAAGGAAAAGAATTGTGCATAAAGACGATCAATCGTCAGCGAATCTAATTTTAATTAAAACGTCATTTCATCTTGTCTTAATTCCGGCAGTCATTCGACAAACATTGCAAGCTCATGCAGACTGGACGCCACAAACACCATAATTTTACGTTTTTCTCTGCATGCGCCATCCTCCTCAAAACCCATCTAGCCACCTGTCTTCAGCTCTATCCCCGCCCCAGCACTAAGCGATCCCAGCCGTCCAGCCTGCTCCACCGACTAACAGGGTCGAACCTGACCGCCGCCTGAGCCGTTCCCACGCTGGGAGTCCTCTCCCCGTCCCGTCCCTCCCCAGGTAGAGCGGTGATTAGTCTCTACCTGCCGGTAGCCGTCAGGGCAGGCTCAACTGGTCAGGGAGCGCTTGAACCTCGTTTGGGGTTGTTATATGTAACAGTGGTTAGCTCAGCCGACAAAATCGTGAATACGTGTTGTGAGATGTCGGAAAATTTACGTCCTAAGAGCAGTTTCCCTACCTGAGCAGATTATAACGCGATCGTGGCGTGCATTTAGGGAACAATGCCGATATAGATGGGTTGGGCTTCTTGTGAGCAGCTTTCGTCAGCGATGCGTTGGTCACTAGCTAGGTGCAATACATGCTTAAAAATACACACTTTCACGGTAATCTTACCTCCAATTCGGGAATACGGTCCTTAATTGCAGCGTTCGAAAGCAGCAAACAATAATCAACGCCAGGTACAGCACATTTCACCAACAGTCTGTTGAGTAGACTCGTCAATCCTCTAGTGCAGACCATCAACCTACCAGTCAGCGACACAACTGAAACGTTTGACTCTCATCAGGCACAAAAATAACACCGTTATCTCTAAAAACCCGCAGAACTACAATACAATCCGCGCCGTGGACCGACCTGTGTAAGCAGTACGCTGGAGAACAGGATGTTGGTCTCGTTCTGGTCCTTGGTGATGTCGGCGTTGGGGTTCATGCCGAACACCTCTGGCGCGGCCAGCATCGGCAGTCGCTGGATGAAGTCGATGTAGTCCTGGTGCTCGCCCTCCGGCGGGATCAGGTAGTGACCTGGTGAAAAGCGCGAGCAGAGAGAGAGGCAGTGATGCGCGGGTTAGACACACACATGAGACGGCGGCTGGGTTAGGGGGGATGGGGTGCAACGGTATGCGGGCGGAGTTACCGTGTAATATGCTTACCCCTACCGGACAGAAGTAAGCCACTTCGCTAAAAACGCATCTAACCTAACGTAGTGCTTTTTTTGTCCAAAAAAAAAACACACACACACACACAGACACATAATTAGCGCCACTTATCCATCATAACCCCATGACGCACATCCACCGCATATGCAGGTTTCCAGTCTACCGATTACAGAGTAAAATGTCTCGTGTCACATCACCATTCTACGGCCTCGTATCTCGCGTGTTTTATCTGAACCTCTTCCCTGCCCAGCACTTTCCTCTCCCCACCCTGTCACCCTTACCATCGTCATCGAGGGCGAATCGCTCCTTGGTCAGCACCTCCCTGCAGAGACAGCGGCGCAGGATGGTGTTGAGGGTGCGCCGGTCCCAGTTGTCAGTGACGCGGCCTCCGTAGTTACATTCGCCGAACAGATACTGGAGCGCCTCGAATGGCACCTGGAGAGGCCAGATCGCAGGTTAGATGGAACTGAGACGGCGGGAGTAACGGCCAGTGATTCATGAATGCCGAACGCTGATCTGTGATATGTAATCCATACGTTTGATTCCAATCCATTCATTGATTCATTCCATCCATAGATTTCCATGCATACATTTGAGGTATGAACCGTCTCATACAGGCGGATCACACATAACCGCACAACGGAGGCCGACACTATCAAAATCTGATGAACCGCCTTCCTGCTAGCAGTAAGCGCTGGCAGCAGGTCATAAGCTCAGGAGTGCCGTCGCCATAATTTCACTATTCTCACACTTTCTCAGCTGTCCTATACTATGGCATGCATACCGTAATGTGACTCACCTCCTCATAATCGTCCAGGAACATACGCAGCTGGGTGACACTGATGCGCAAGTCGGTCTCGTTGAACTCGTATGGCGTGTTCCATCCCAGCGCGCCGTATGCCCTACGCTCCTGGACTGGAAATGGGGGGGGGGGGCGTGCTGAGGTTGTGGTGCGCCTGCGTTATTCGTTATTCGTTGCCTCGTCACTAGGATGATGTAACAACCACGTGTGTCGCCGGCCGGCACGGGAGTCCCCGGGCCCGCGCAGACCGATTCGCGCGCCGACTTATGACGTCGCTACCCCCTCCCCCCCGGTGCTGGGGGCGGCCCAGGGCGCGCCAGTGAACCTTGTACCCTTTCACGAGGCGACCGCGTGTCTGCAGCCTGCAATGCAGCAGCTTGGATTCCATTCTCGTCTTTTCGTCACTCCACTGCATGATTCGTTGTTTCGGTTTTTGACTTCGTTTTGGAACTTTGAAATATAACAACCCGCTCTTTTAATTAATTCTTTTACTTGGGGCCGTTTGGATCGAACTGATTGAATTTTTGGAACACGCACCAGGTTGATATTTCCCATTTCTGATTAACGTAAAATCCAGTCACTGATATGTGGTGAACAGCCCCACAGCACCACAAGGTCAGTTGTCACGGCACATAGCTGATACTAATTCAGTCGCATATTTGCGTGCCTACTGCCTGATTCTTTAGGTCCTTCAGTTCCTATCCACCCTGTTCAGCCATGCCAAGAGACTGCCACACCGTATCATATCACTTGATGAATCAACTATCATAACACGTCACAAGAGGGGTCTTACTGAGAGCGTGGAAGAAGCACAGGCTGTAGAGCAGCGCCTTGAACGAGCTCGGGTTCTTGGACTCGCCGAAGAATGACGGATCGACGATAGGGTCACTCAGGTACGAGCTGGGGACAGAGCGGCGGGACAAATCAGCGGATGGTGCAAAAACGAGCGGAGTTTATATAGACTGCTGAAATGTCACGAAAGTGTCACAGCGCGAACAATTCATAAGAGTAAAATGACTTCTTCAAAGCACTTTCAGCACGAATTAACTGAACGCTTCTAAACACATTTTCTATCAAAACTTCACTTAAAAAAGAACAAAAAAAAAAGAAGAAGACACTATTGCAATTCATCTCACAAAATGCCAAGCCGGCGCCACCACAATAGCACACCTCACAGCGTCTTTAAGCAGATACCCTGCTGTATCAACTCAACATTGTCACAGTCATACAATCTCACCGTTTAACGTTGGCCCTCAGTCCCTTGGGCGGCTCGTTGGTGATTTTGACGCCGTTCTGCAGCACCGCCACGGGGAAATGGTCGGCCGGATAGGAGGTCAGCCACAGACGGAAGTCCGGGTGGGTCGTGTCCGGACTCAGCTCCTCACACACCTGTTAAAGAGAGGGAGGGGTCGCAGAGGTCACGGTCAGTGTCGTTGGACAGATAGCCGAGTACCGCCTGACTGCCGATGGTGAGAACGGACAGTACTATCTAACGAGTAACGTAAACAGTCCACAGCAGAAGTAATGTGTGGTTTCAGTCATGGGTATGTTCTGCTTCTGAAGCCTAGGAACGATTAGCCAGACTGCAACGAGACTTTAAATGTAGCTTACATGTATCTTCACCCTTGCAGCTACAACTTTATCTATTGACGTCTTCTTTTCAATCAGTCCGCATTTAAAAATCGTCGGTCAAAGCCATCCGTTGAGATTGGTAAAACCACACATTACTTTAGCGGTGGGCTTTACTTTATCCTGCAGCTGTATTACGTACTTGAATTCAGTTAATGTTTTAGTTCCTTGACAACAACCATGCAAACAGGGTCCTATGAATATGTAACATCGCGAAACTTTTAACGTATTAATCAATTGACCAAAAGTCAAAATATAAAAAATAATGGTTTGCATAAGACTCGAGAGTATAGGCTATCACCAACATGAATCCCGCAACTGGTCAGCGAGCCACCACATCTGTTCCTACCTTCTCGAGGGAGGGCATCCAGGACTTGGCGAGGTGGCAGTTCTGCAGCACCACCCAGGTGCCGTTCTTGACGCCGTCCTCGACCATCCGCATGGCGATCGGACCCTGGCCCTGGCCCAGAGACAGCGACTGCAGCTTCGGGCCGCTGAAACCCTGCGGAGGCGGATACAAGTCAGGGGGCGGACAGTGGCAGCCTGTGCCCGTTGATCGAGATGACTAGCAAAATGGTTATAACGCAAGATGCTCACAATTTTAGGGACTGCCGGAGCAAATTACTGAACTATTACAGTAATAAAAAAAATGTTAGCGGGCCCATAAAACGATAGAACGTGGCGGCGCCTTATCCATATTCAGCCCCTGAAATCCAGCAACAGCCTATATCAACACCCGCCTCTCTCAGCCTCCCATTCCATCTTGCTCATGCAGTGTAACCCATGGCTGTCTATAGGTACCGCGTAAAACTAGAAGCGCCCTCATGTCGGGACTCCCCAGGCTCAGTTCTCACCATATCGTCTCCAAACTTGAGCAGCACGGCCGTGGGGTCTGCTCCAGGCGTCAGTACGAAGATGAGCGGCGCGCAGCAGTGCGAGTCGGCGAACGACTTGGCCAGGTCGAACGGCGGCGGCTCGATGAACCGGTGGTCCAGACACTCTGAGAAACAGGGCGGGGGATGAACGGTGGTCCAGACACTCTGAGAAAGAGGGGAGGGGTGAACAGTGGTCCAGACACTCTGAGAAAGAGGGTGGGGGATGAGCCGGTGGTTCAGTCACTGTGAACTAGAACAAGTCGGTGGTTCAGATTTCAAGACACAGTGACTATCTAGCGGGAAGTCAGCCGGTGGTTCATGCACTGTAAACGAGGACAGTCACTGTGGACTGGTGATACCTAACATCCATCCGACATAAGTCATTAAATAGCACGCATCAACCTTCCATTCTTGCATCAACAACCTCGAGTGCCTGAAAATTCCTACCAGTACCGCAATCACTTCATCTCTTCCCTCTCCTCCCCAATACATAATAACCACATGTCCAGGCATTGCAAACATCACTGACAGAACTCACCTGAGACGAAGCCCTGCACGGCGGGCACCATTTTGTCCGGTCGCAGACAGCGCAGGATGCACATCTTCTCCAGGGTGATGAGCTTGTTCCAGCGGCTCGGCAGCGGCTCGCTGTGCGGCGTCACGCTGTCAAAGATGGCCTTCCACGGAGCGGTCGACGCCTCGAACTCCTCACGAATACCCTGCGACGTGAGATGGGAAGGAGGGCATTTGTTGGACTTCAGGCGAGGAACAAGATTGATCCGGATGAAAAAGATCGTGTGGAGCAAAGGCAGTAATCAAATTATAATACGAATCGAACTGAGTATGCTACAGCATATATGATAGTGATGTGCCCACCACAAATTATGGGATGCAGGATGCTGGCAGCTAGAATACCAGGAAACAGCACGCAATATTTGAACAAAATCCATCAACCCCGAACCACCGTCGCTATCCCAGCTGTTCCGTACGTATAAAACAACATCGATACGCGCATCCAATGGTGAGGCGGCTATCTCCGCCCCCCTTCCCCCTCCCCCACTCACGGCAAACGTGGGCAGCTGTGAGAGCCGGCAGAGCTCGTCCCAGTTTTTGGGCGGCAGCCAGGGCGCCGGGTTCTTGTGCGGGTTGTCCAGGCCGACTCCTCCCGTCAGCAGGAAGAGCCACTCGGCCTCATCCAGCTCGCCGCGAGCGCGCAGCAGGTTGATGGCCAACAGCATCGAGAACAGGAGTTTGTCCTGTCGACCGACGGCGGACTCAGGGTCAGCTGCGACTGGTGAACACTGTTTACTGCTGTATTAGCTATCGGAGGGAAGGTCCTTCCCTCCGAAGACTGATGAAAGAGCAATCTGAGGTGAATACATACATATCATGGATGCAAAAGTCGAAAGGAACCGTGAATTTGTGAATTGTCATGCATATGCTTCTTCGTCAAAGTCATTCTCCCGGCCGCGACTCTCACCTTCTCGAAGAGGCTGCGGCAGACGTTGGTGTACAGCGAGTAGGTGAAGTGGTCCTGCAGCGTGTACAGCCGCTTCTCCAGGTCCTCAGACTTCTCCGTGTTGTCGATCGAGTTGACAAACAATCCGAAGAACCATCCCAGCGAGTACTGGTACATGGGGTCGATGCAGCCCATATCGGTAATGCTGAAGAACAGGATGGACGAGTGTTTGGCGATCGGCGTGTAGCCCATGCGCGCCAGGCTGATCTTCTTCTGGGTCTCCTCGGCCACCTGTTGTTTCTCGGCGATCTCGTTGCTGAGCAGTTTGGACGAGCTGAGCACCTTGATGGCCGTCTCGTCCTCGAGGATGTTGCCCTCGGAGGTGGACAGCACCTCCAGAATCTTGTCCTCGATCTCCTTCAGTTGTCTGCCGACGCAAAGGGAGGCAAGACATCAGTATAAAGGTGGATGACGAATGCTAAGATCTATTCCAGGTGTAAGTTACATCGGTAGAACTCATAGCGTTTGTTTCTGGAAAAAGATCGATACAAGTTCAAGAATGAAAAGTTGTTAGAGCCATATTTTGTCCGAAAACAATAAAATCAGATTTCACTCAGGAACATCATAGGTACCCTAGAGACACGAGATTGGACATAGTCTCTAGGATTTAGTTCGGACCAAGGCACCGCTCCCATCCAGCACTTGTGACTTTTCACGTGCCCCCCGACCCTCACCTCTGGTTATCAGCTGACTGCACAATCAGCTGACTGCGCTCCTCCTCCAGGTCGGGTTTCTCCCGGGACACGACAGTACCGAGCAGCTGGTCCTGCAGACCGGCCAGCGTGATACCGAAGTTGAGCAGCGCCACCTTCACAGCGATCTCGGGCAGGTAGTGCGGGTTACGCAGTTTGGTAGTCATGTAGAACCTGGCGGTGAGCGGCAGGGGAGATGTAAGGGTCTTGAGAACCGGTGGTGCACAAGGTTGATATGAGGACGTGATCAGGCTGGTTTAGGCGTCAAAATGAAAAAAGTGACAGGCTGCAGAGTTGGTTGTAGCATCCCGATGACAGGAAAGTGGTTGTGAGCAGAGGAGGATAAAGTCTGCGTCTGTTGATACTTGAAAGTTTCCCGTTTCCCGAAAGTTTCACACTAGTTTCCCGCACAGAAAAAGAATGGGATACAAGCAGTAAGACATTTTGTCTGCATCCAGAGATAGTAAAGACAAGGTATACTTCTTTGTCATTCCAAAAACACTGACGTTCCAGCACAACACACAGACTGGCCATTGTCGATATCTAGCCGCTGACAGTAACAGTTGCCGGTAGACACCGACCCCACCTGAAGTCCGGCGAGTACTCGAGCACAGAGTCCCCGAGCTTGATGCAGATGGCGCCGGCCTGTTTGAACGTCTGCTTGAGCAGCAGCGGCTCCAGCATCGGGTCCAGCTCTTCGCCAATGTTCTCCAAAAGCACCTGGAGTAATAGATCGACATGGTTAGACGCGGAGGGTGCGGTGAAACGTACCGTCTTCAACCGAAAACATCGCCGCCGGAGACCGATCGAGGGGCCACCTACCGAAGTCAGGTGGCCCCTCCATTCAAGCAATGATAATGGAGCTGGGAATGACAAAACCGATGCAAAACAGCGCGAGCGATTCCGATAGCAAACGGTATATTTTAGCCAAAGTCGGCGAATTCGGCTGGCTAAACGTAATCAAATTGTTCACACATCAATCATGCCGACACAGAGCAGATTCTTATTCTCACTGCGGCGCCCAATTCCATCAACAAGCCAAGCCCATAGTCCACCAGTAAACCCACTCCACCCAGCCCTCCCCTCATCCCGCTCCCCCCCCCCAACACCACCTCTCTTCCCACCCCGCTCCACCCACCGGGTTTCCGAACTGGATGGCGTTTTCCAGCGAGCGGACAAAGTCTGCGTCGTTGCCCTTGGCCACGTGCAGCTGGTTGGCCTTCTCCATGTTTCGGATCCACTTGTTGGCCTGACCCTCGGGGTCGATCATCAGAGGCCAGCGGCGAGCGTTCCTGGAGACGGACGCGGGACAGGAGGAGACGAGGCTCAGGAGACGCATTTTTACCGGGGATTTCCGCTCGAATGATGAGGACCAAATATGATGGCTGATAGGTAGATTTTAGCAGGATAACAATGCGGTATACAATAATTTCAAATACATTTTCAACCCACCTTCAATTATGCCAAGGTATACGTTGCACGAATATAATAAAGATCTTAGCATTATCAAAGAGAAGTCACCAAGCTACAATAGCCAGCACAGAGTCACAAAGACGCATCCATCACCCCGATCCCCTGCCGCCATCTCACTTCATGATAACACCGTTGTCCACGGAGTACAGATCGGTGGGCAGGCCGTGTATGTTCCAGGCGCGTATCTCCACCGGATTGCCGAGCACCAAGCTGAGCTCGAACTCTGGGCTGCAGGTGATGGCCTTCTCCACGCAGCGGTCCATCCAGTCGACCACCTGTTCGGAGCGGTAGGACGAGGTAAACGCGCCCAAGTAGGCCACCACGCCCGACGCGATCAGAATGTCACCTGTCGGCAGAATTAGAGACGAGGGTGGAGTCATCTCACTGAGGGCCTGACTGACTTCAACAGCTGGTGTCATCTTCAGTTATCCTTATCGGAGTAAATGATAAGCACTTGGCCTCCTTGACCCAATCGCGACGGACTGTGAAAGTGATTCTAAATCATTAGCGGGAATGAACTATCAGGATTCCCGAATAAAACATAAATGTGACAATTATTATCAACATATTATACAGTCCACAGATACAACCAAACCGGTCATCGTTCCGCGATTTATACCGTCACCCGACATGAGTTGGTGAGCCATTACCGGTGAGGTTTTCGTATTTCTTTCCGAGGCTGACGGCCGAGTTGCTCCATCGGTCCTTCTCTCCACCCAGACCACCGATCAGCTGTTCAGCTCGCTCCAGCTTCAGCTGACACAGCTCCACCTGGACGGAATGACTTAGCGATTACACCATGCTGCTAAATTGTGTGGAGAGGTGACCAGAGGTTATGCCGCGCGGGGCTGGGGTCTCCAGCCGAACGCGCGGGGCTGGGGGGGGGGGGGGTAAATTTTACCCCCCCCCCCTGTTATCTCCCGAACTAATGGTCCGATTTGGAAAATTCAAACGCCAATCGAAAGATCTCATCACGAACAAATAAAAACATGTACTTAATTTAAAATTTGAGGTCAAGGTCAAGGTCAGGTCAAGGGTACAAATTGCAAGTTTCTACATTATCAGTATCGGCCTTGCACCGTAGTTGCCGAAGAACGGACTGAGACTGATTGCCCAAAACGTGTTCTTAGGCTATCAAGACAATATTCGTTGCATACAATATCATTCAAAGGTCAAGGTCAAGGTCAGGTCAGGTCAGGTCAGGTCACCAAAAACAAAATATAGAAAAGGCCATGTGCGACACATGTTTATGGGTCATTTTATTCATAGAATTCAATAGGCACACTCAATGGGTGATATGGACCACATCTGGATGAATTTCAGGTCGAGGTCAGGTCAAGGTCAGGTCAAGTGAGGTCAAATTTTGAAGTTAGTTGCTAAGGCCTAAAAAGGTGTCTATCTGATACAGTTTTTCACGGCGAATCGAATGGTGCTATTTTTGTTTCCGTACGAGGTCTAGAACTTCCAAGAAAATTCATTTTTTTTTCAAAAAATTTGTTTGTCGTGACGTAATGAAATTTTGAATAACTCCCACATTTTTGAACCGATTCTTCTAAAAATTGGTATGTAGATGCACATGGACCACTTCTCTGACATATATTCCGGTTTTTTCAATACACGCAAAATTTTGGATTTTATAATTATTTTCCCAAAAAAGTCAGTTTTTTGAGAAAAAAAATTTGGGCCAAAATCCAACATTTTCAAAAAACCGAGATAGCGATCAGATAGAAAAAGTAGAATCACGTATAACCTTTTTGTTACGTCTTGATTCCCTGAACCCTCGCCCGCACATGGGGGGGGGGGGTTGCCACCCCCCCCCCCCACCATGTAGTCTTTCTGCTCTGCACTCGACATTTTTAAAGCTAGAAGGCTGATTTTTCGTATAGCTGCTCCTCTATCCTTTCTTGATGTCCACTGAAAATTTCAAGTTTCTGTGATTTTTGGTTTCGGAGATATGACCTTTTATTTCAGGTCATGTCATGACCCAAATGGCCAATTCTCAACATCTTGCGTTTGCTATGGGCCTTGTGAGCTTTTGACACCTTGATTTTGGCCTTTTTTGCCAGTCTTACCTCCCACCTATCATGGAACATGTTGTTCGACGATGTACAGGTGTCAAGGTCAGGGTCAAGGTCAACCTAGGTCATCTAAGATAATTACGTTTTAGGCAAGCTGAATTTACTTTTTGTAAAGTTTTTTGACTGCATTTTTGGTAAAAGCTTCTCAGATCATGATTTCATGTAATATGGACACATAAACAATCGGTGCACACATCAGTATACACACAGACACACAGACATACAAACACATATAATTGACCTTGACCTAGCTTGACCTGAAATGACCTCAGCAGCAAAAATCTGGTCGGGTAGTGTGACAAAGAGGTTCTAGCTAGCTTAGCACCAGAAAACGGCATCGTCATCGGTATATGCTAAGCAGCGCACTTGATATCCAACGGTGACCCAAAACAGCAACATTTTTTAGTCTGACCTGACCTGGAAGGTCAATGACTGACCTGAGAAGGTAAAACTGGGTATCATTGGATTCGTCTCTTCCCAAAGAATCTTTTTGGTCTTTACCGCTAAGCTCTATCTCCAACAGGAACGAAATGGCGCGGGGGGGGGGGTGGCGACCACCCCCCCCCCCATGTGCGTTCTAGGATGGGAAAATGGCATGTGCGGGCGAGGGTTAAAATTGTAGATGTTAGCGGCGTTTGAAATTTTGCCGTTTTTGAGGCGAAAATGGCGAACATTACGTCACTAAAACGTCATTTTCTAAAAAAAAATCCGAAGGCCATTTCGCTCAAATTTTCAGGGAACGTGTCAAATTGATGTAAGAAAAGGTACTGAGAGTTTGCGCCGCCGTTTTTGAGATATTGCAAAAATTCGCGAGGGGGGGGGGGGGTAAGCCCCGCGCGGGTTAACTGAAGTGACCAAAGTTCCGATATGACTTGACGTTTAGTTCACCACATGAGAATATGGATACGAATTGAACGAAGCTTTGTAAAATGTTGGGGAAACTGAGCACAATAAAACTATGAGCAATAAAGCACGCGGACCACGAGGGCCAGAAACCAGTTCCATCTGCCGCGCATCCGGAACGAGTACGGGCGGAGGCGCTTTGCCTACAGGGCAGCTTCCCTCATGAACTCTCTTCCGTCCCATGTTTGTGATTGTCGCGGCAGTAGAAAGCAGTTTGGGGCTGCCCTCAAACGCCACATGCTCTCCAATACCTGACTGTCCGATTTTCACACTGATGGTGTTGTGTTTGTGTGTTTGGGTGTGTGAAGTGTGCATGACAACCGTGCCAGCATTCTCAATTTAGTCGTCTCCGGTGTTCTATACTTGTATGACGAAAACATGTAATAGCCTCTTTATAGAGGATATGTTTGATATGTTCAATAAATAAATAAATAAATAAATATATCATAGACAGGCAACTGTAATATTCTGCTGCCTATATTCTAGCCACCACCAGGTTATCGTTTCCTCGCACTTCACCGCCTCCCCAACCACACATACCTCGTTCTCCAGGTCGACCTTGCGCTGTTTGTTGGCCTCCAGCTTGTTCTGCAGCTCCTGCAGTCGCTCCTGTACGGTGCGCAGTGACGCTCGCTTGGCCTCCAGCTTTCCCATGGCCTCGGCGAGCTCCCCCTCGGCCTTACCCAGCGCCTCCTTCTTGGGTCCGACCACTTTGGCCACCTTGTCGTACGACTCCATGGCGATCACCCAGCGGCACAGACCTGGCAGCCGGACACGGGTTTGTTTGTTATTCATGCCTAGAGCTGATTAACCCTGGGTAAAGTGATCAGCACAGGCTCATAGCGTCAGTCAAGAATTAGTTGGATTCCCGACGGGAATCCAGATCCCGTCATTAACAGCGAGAACATTAAGAGGACGCATCAACCGAACGTTGCGTGATCCGCGTGCCGATGCACAGGCAGAAATGTAAGCGTTATTGCTGGTTAGCGAGAGGTTTTATTCACGCCTGTGTTCACGCGGACTATAGTTGACTGTCTGAAGAGCGGTAGCATCGTGGCATTTTGGAAACATAAGAGATCGTTGCCCGATTCACTCACCCTCGGCCGCAGTGGAAGCGGCCTTGACCTTATTGGGATCGAATTCGGGATTGGATATAAACCGCTCTCGGAGAACCTTGATCACCTGAAATAGACACAAAGACGGTGTAGCCATATGGTATGTACTGAAAAAAGAAAGAAGCTACGTCATTTGAACAGATGCATGTAACGGTGAAAAAATAAGCTACAAGAAACCTTTAGTAATTCAATCGATCCATCAGTCACGGCCTTTTTCGCACCTTGGGAGGGATGTTGTCCTTGTCGAAGTTGATGAGTCCGTCGAGGAATTTCGTGTCTGCCAGCAGTTTCTTGGAGGGTCCCCAGTAGTCTTCCACCATCTTGCCGCTGCCGCTCGGGTCCGGGATGCGGTCGGCCTTCAGACCCTGCGGACGGAACGGTCGGTCAAAGAGGAGCGAACTACACCAGACAATAGGTCAAGTGGGGCGACAGCTGCCATGCTAGGGTTATCAATCAATCTGTTTTTCTTTTTTAAGATTTTCGATGTGGATGCTACATCACTATCAATGTGCTAAACACATGCACTATACAGGTAAAAACAGGAGTCGACCTAGCTCGTCCAAACTAGCAGGAAATCTATAAAAAGTTATCATCTACTAAATGGCCAGAGCAGTAAATCACTACGAACTCTCTGCTTCCCATTCCTTCCCGGCGCGTTCTCTACTCCGACCATATTCACCGAAGTCCTAAACCGACCTTGACGATGCAGACGGCCTCCATGACGAGCTTGACGCCGGTCGGCGGGTTCTTCATCGACTTCACCAGCGTGATGTCGTTGGGCGTCAGCGTGTTCAGCGCGCTCAGGGCCGACTCGAGGATCGGCATCGCCTCGGCCAGGTCGGCGTCACACTCGTCTGTGACGGCGGCGGGGGCGGGCTGGGTCACATCGACGGCGGAAACCAATAATGACAGTACCTATATACAATGGGATAATGGGAGCATGCACTGTGAGTACGTGTTGAGTGATGCTCAGTCGAGCTGTTTAGATGGATTCCATCTTGCTCGATTTTATGTGTGTTTTTTTTTTTTGCTTTAATTATTTTGCCTTCCACCACTTAACTGCCAACTTGTTAGCGCCTCCCTCCATGTAAGTACACGCTCGTTTACATGTCGTGATGATAACCACGCCCGATCTCGCCGATCTCACCCTTGATGCCCTGGGCGACGCGGGCCTGCTCGTTGGCAATAGCCTCGTCTCCTTTAACGATACGTTCCACCTCGGCTACTTCCACAGAGTCCTTTTCCACCTGCAGCATGATCTCGTCCACCTGTGGACAGCGGGAACACACGTGTTGAGACAGACGCCAGTTAGTGGAACACTGGTGAGGTGAGCGATGAAGTGATGACGTGATGTTGCAAACACTACATATACGTATTTAACAACAGCATGTATAATGACCAGGGTCAAATTCCCGAAATTCGTAAAAAAATGATCTCAAATAAAGATGATGGCGAAATAGGTTACCATGATGATGCTCCTCACGACTGGGTCATTTTTTCTACCACAACTATTAATTGGCAACTAGCCATGAAGCCTGAACTGCTGCTACCCAACCTGTTTGGAGGCCTCAACCAGCTGCGGCTGCAGGTCCGTCAGGTCCTTCGACATGACGCTGATCTCCGAGGCAGCGTTGGCCAGCTTCTCCAGACCGACCTCATAGCGAGACTTCTGGTTAAGAACCTCCCTGCAGAAGAAGGTGTGGAGGCGTACGGATGACAAATGGACAGATAAACGAACAAACGAGCGAGCGAGCGAGCAAGGTAACGATGAACGGATGGACGAGCAGACAGAGGGGAACTAGGCAGGTAGATGGATGAACAAAGCCAATAGTGACATAGAAAAGATGAGAGCACTACGCTCATTCCCAGTACATACAACCCCAAATGGGCAGTATCGAGAATCAGACGCGACAGAAGACAGTCGCACAAACTCAAACCCAATATGCGAGACAACAGACTTACAGGAGTTTCCACCATTTCCACTCACTTTCTCCGTCTATCCAGCAGCGACTTATACGTAGCGATCAGCTCCAGATACGACGTCGGAGTCACATAGTTGTGTCGGCGTGTCAGCTCCAGGAAGCGCCGTGACAGTTTCTCGGTGGACGTGTGGAAGTACTGGCACAGGTGGATGCAGCCGGACCGCTCGTCCTCAGACATATCCACCTCAGCCAGGAACTGGGTGGCCACCGCCTGCAGCGCGTCGGCCGGCCATGGCTGACGGAGGAGAGGGGTAGGAGGAACGGGGAGAGGGTTGTCAGAGGGCGGCGTGGGAGACTATTGGAAGCGCCTGGTGGGCCGTTATTGCAAACTGGTATTGGATGAATACTACAAGGCGTCATGGCCACGGCTATTAAAATGCTACAGGTTGCCGAGAAAACATCATGTATTCTACGTCTGTTATTTTATAACGATGCTTACTGTTCGCTCCAACTAACACCTTTATCAATCATTAGTTTTCCTCCTTAAAATACAACTCATTCAGGCGCATCTCGGCCAACAAGGTCACTAATCCATCCAGATCTCTACCATCCTCTCTAGGAACACCGTCAGAAGTGTTAAGCCCCTCTGGCCTCCCCACTAACCGTTTAGCCCGCCCTCCGCCATCGCCCATCACCTGGAACCAGTCGATGGTGCAGCAGTTGACAATGGCCGGGAAGCGGCGCAGACGGTCTCTGAAGGCGTCTCCGATCGGGGAGAAGGCCATCACCACGTGCAGCTGGTCACGGACGCGCTCCACGAACATGTTGAATAGCGCCACGTAACTGCCGTCCGTCTGTTAAAGCGAGGGAGGGAGAGGCGGAGGGGATACGGAGTTAGACAAGTGGAGAGTGCGCTGGGTGAGGTGGGTTTGGTGAATGTGGGAGTCTTGACCGTCCGTCCAATAATGGTGACTGAGAAGGGCGCATTAATGATGAAGGCTTATAGACAATAACACCGTTCGACTAGTTATGCAAATTACGCGATCAAAGAAACACAAGCAGCCTGACTACCATGCATATTCCATGAAATGTACCATGTCTGGGGTGAACTTGCCTTGCGCTCAATCCCCCAAGCTCTTAGCATGACCTAACCAAATTATCGTTTCGGATAAATCATTTGGAGTACACGTCTTTCATGCAGCCCATCTTCCCTAGCTTCCAACCTGCATCGACTTATCCCGCTGTCTGTCAATGACTCTCATCTTCTCGCATATTTCGATCTTGTCCTCGAGTGCGAACAGGTTGGGCACCTCGCCGGCGTTCAGGATGTTGTTCAGGTCCTCCACCATCGACTCCTCCTTGATCTGTCGTGAGGTAGAATCGAGTAGCGAGTGAACAGATCAGCGTCAAACAGCCGGGAGTGCAAGTAGAAGTGATAACACCACTAACAGCTAACCGATGATGACGCAATCTCCCAACGGCCAGAACCCTCCAGTCATTGGCCCAGCCTTCACCCAAACGTTTGTCACGAGGGAGATCCACGACCGCTAATCTCTCTCGGTCAGAGCCCACCAACCAGTGACGCGATCATTTACCTGTGTATCGGTAAAGAGGAAGACAGAGTGCCGCTCGCCGAAGCCGGCCTTGCTCAGCACACTGCGCAGGTCATCCAGCCACTCGTTCTTGCCGTAGGTCTTGGATATTTCCACCTGGGAAACAATGATTATTGATAAGTGACAGCAATATTTAGACGATAATATGCCAAACATTCCATACTGTTTATTCATTCATAGCCAAACCAGCCACCAATCCTAAAAAAGTAAAAATACAGTGCTATCAAGCGCGGTTAATCTGGCTGACAAAAAAAAAAAAACTCGAAATAAATTGTTGGCATAAGTCTATCTGCATGGTGTCGGGCCGGTTCTCAATCCTCAGTGTCTCTCACCTGGAATATGTCGCAGTCGCAGATATGCGCCGCCAGCCGCGTCAGCGACTGCCTGCCCGATCCTCCGACTCCCACCAGTAGCACGTGGCCTCGCGGCTGTTTGAGCACGCGGGCCACCCGCGACAGGTGCTCAATGGCGAACTGGAACAACACCAGATTCATGGGCTTCTTGCTCATGTTGTTGTACTCGATGAGGTAGCCGTCGACGACGCTACGCAGATAGTCAAGGTCCTCGACCTCGGTGTAGTTGCGCGGGTCGGCCTTGGGGTCCGAGAAGTCGCAGTACATGAGCGCGCGCAGGTCGTTCTCCGTCACCTGCCGGAGGCAAGGGAGAGAACTTCAGTCAGAATATCGATTATGCATGTGAGTGATATAGCTGCGTCAATTATACAAAGAGCAGGCTGCAAAAAAAAAACTTAAACAAATACCGGCAAACCATTGACATAACTGTGAATGTCAATAAGAGACATGATTGACTACGATACGTCCCCTCACACTGGAAGTCCTGGTGATTCCAGGTGATGCTACGTCATCACCTTTCCGTCTGCGTCCGAGTCTAGCCGGCTGAACAGCTGGTCCAGGTCATCCTCCAGGTTCTCCTTGGCCACCTGTCTCAGGTGCTCGATCAGCCAAGCGCGGTCCGTGTCGTCCACCAGACTGTGGACGGACGGACAAAGCAGGGATGTTACAGACGGCAGTGATATTCATTAACAGCGCAGAGTAGTTAACGGGTATCGTAATCACGGGGTAGGACGAAGATCAGCAGATGGGGGGTCGGGATACGTAAGACCGTGGGACGGTAAAGGCTGTGATTGACAAATTCACGAACTTAAAACGCTTGACGCCGAATCCGATGATAACAACTTTTACAATGGTATAATAATGGATAAGTATCCATGACATACCTATGCGGCCTTATCATCGAGCTAATACACGAGTCCTCTCCGCGTGGTCCACCCCATCGGCGGCGGAAGGATTCTCATCGTCACTGACCGATCGTAGTAGACCCGCAGCACCTCGTGGACCCAGAGCCGCTTCAGACTGGGCAGGTCCTCCACCGCCTCCGGCACCGACAGCAGCACACCCTGAAAACGGCATTAACTGAGCCAGACTATCCAGAAAAACACCCACACGGGGACTAGGGACCACACGGGAACCAGCACAGAGACTATCTTAGACCAAACAGGGCCGATTGAGCTGAAAATTCACACCAGTGCGTATCGTACTTTGGACACAATCATGGCGCCATGGAGCCGTCAGTCAGTCGGACCATTCAGCTACCACCCTCCGAAACACCGCATCAAAAAGACATTCAGCCCCATGACAGTCAATAATAATCATCGCAGTACCGTTTGCCGCTAAGACATCCCGCCCTGAGGCGTACCTGCATCACACGAGAGAAGTCCCGCAGGTTGAACAGGTAGTGAGACTTGTTGGGCGTGGGCAGCAGGTGCTCCATAGCCGTTTTGTAGACGTTCAATGTCGCTCCCACCACCTGCTCGATGCTAGGATCGAACTCCTTACCGAAACCCCTGCGGAAACGGTATGGCACACGAGGTCAGGAAGAAATGTGGAGGCATCCGTCAAATGCATTTAAACATTAGGATGGAGCATCTTAAAGCCCTCAGGCCTCCAAGTTAAGTTGAAAGGACGAGTCAATTTGAGTCTAACATCATGTTTAAATGGGCAAGGCTTTTGCTAACAGCAGTGACTGAAAAAGCGTAGCTTCAATAACCAACTAATACACGGAGTGTAATCGCCACGCCGATTGTGGATTGCTCTTGATCGTCAATACATACATACATACATACAACTCCCCAATTCATTATACCCATCCTCCTACAAACGCCAATCATGCCCACCACTCAGTGTACCAGAATCCGGACCCACCGGGCCTCCCCGAGCCACCCACCGAGTGTCCAGGTGCCACAGCATGATGCGAGAGAAGATGACCTTCATCGTCTCGTCGTCGAACTCGTTGATGCTGATCAGGTTGAAGTGACGGGTGAAGCGGGGAGTGACGAAGTTGCGGCCGCCGCCCGGAGGACTCATGGCTGACATGATCTGTGTGAATACAGGGGGGGGGGGGGGACGGTCACAGTACCGCTGTAGAGGCAGCACCTGGGTCACACTGTGATTCAGTAGATGACGGCCGCACCTAGCCAGACTGCATCACAGGTACTACTGGTGCTGCTGCCTTACCAAACTGTAGCTTTAGGTATAAGTACAGCCCACCGCTAAAGTAATGTAGGGTTTTATCAATCTCAACGGTTGGCTTTGACTGGCGATTGTTTAATGCGGAGTGATCGAAAAGAAGATGTCAATAGCTAAAGTTGCTGCTGCAAGGGTGACGATACATATAAGCTACATTCAAAGTTTCATTGTAGTCTGGTTAATCGTTCCTGAGCTTCAGAAGCAGAACATACCCATGACTGAAACCCCACAATACTTCTGCTGTGGACTGTACCTACACACTACGGCAGCGTCTGGTTTTACCGCAATAGACTACAGAGGGCAGCTGCGTTAGCCAGCCGTACCAATGCACAGTGGGGATTTTTCCGATATAGCACGTCTTTATTCGTAGAGGGTAAACCATAGGTAGTATTGTAGCCAGATTGTGCACAGATGTTGGCTGGTGTGTTCTGGTGAGAATGTTACCTGTAAATGTGCATAATCAACATAGCATAGGGGGTTCAATTGGACCCCCGGCTCAGCCGTTTGGCCCCTGATCAAGCTAGAGCTTCGCGGAAAAATCAAGCGTGCTGCCTATGACGAGATGAGGCCGAATATATCCAATTTCAAAGTCCAAGGTGATTAGTTGACTTTCCAAGTCAGTTTAATGACCCAACTAAAGTTGGGAAATCGAGACCTTTTGAAACTTCGTAAAGTTAGGCTGTTACGGGGTATTTTGGGGTGCTGATCACGAATTTCTTGTTAGTTTTGATCACAGACGATGTCTTTATGCATTTAGGCCAGGTCGGGTCAGGTCAGGTCAGATCAACCAGTAGGCGTCCTGCCGGCCATCCATAGTAGGACTAGGGTCACGTACTACTGACAGCTTCGTAACATGGTACGAAGGCACCAGAACTACTTTGCAAATATTCAAATGGCTGCTAAATTCGAAATCAGCACCAAAAACTACCCTAGAAACAAGTAAAACTCGAAAAAGTGAACCAAGGTCATCAAAGGTCAATGACCTTGACTTGATCTTCACGTGACCTTGACACCCACCATAATGCATGGCAACAACATCATTTCACATATTTGAACGTTTAAAACCACAATAAGACTGGAAACCGCGGATAATGTGAGCTGGCATACGCCGAATCGCGATTCCGGCCAAACATGGTCTCGAGAAATATGCCACAGGTGAAAGGTCAGTTGGGTCAGAGTCATAAAATTTTTAGGTTAGATGTAAAATTGATGATCTCGAGGGCACCGATTAAAGTGTCGTCACACGATCGGCCGCTTTTTGCGCGAGTAATGTGCGGAAAACCATGGGGTTTTATCCGACCCCTTCCCCCTCCCCCTCCCCACAAGTGCGAGGGTTAATAAGGTTACAGTATGTATAATTTACGCTTGTCATCCTATTCCTAATGAATGTGTCTCAGAAAATATGTATCATATAAATCACGAAGTAAAATTATTCGCCTATGTTCGGAACATACCTATATCGTGCTGTTTGCTCTAGCGCTCCTAAGTGGGGTATTATGATACTCTAATGTGAATATTCCGTGTTCAGGCAAGTTTCGGCAGCCAAACTAGGCGTTGTCTTGTGCAGGAGAAAGTGGCGAATTCGATAGGATATGTTTCGGAGTGGAAAAGTGTGGAAAACATTGTTGATTTCCTACATTTACTTAGAATATCATTCCTTCAATATGGTGTCTGTAAGGGTTTTTTTGTAAATGGCATTTTTGTGACCTTAGTAAGGTTGTGGTATACTTTTTGTTTGCCACTCCATTCCTAAAAAGGTGTCTTTCAAAAGATATGTAACTTTAAGACCTCGCAAGAATAAAACCAACAGGACAGGACAATGAAATTGAGCTATACTTTCGGTCCTTACTGAGCCCATCGAGTAATCACGCATGAGTGTGAACTTTGGGCGCATTTTTCCTAGTCTTGCTGTGAACATTCAGATAAAACAATGCCATATATGAAAAATTCAGACATTTCTTAGCCCCACTGACACAAAAAATAAACAAAAATCCAAAAAAGATTTTTGGAATTAAGACGCGCTAGATCGGAAAAATCCCCACTGTGCAATGCAGAGGGCAGCAGTTGCACGTCCTGGCTGACTATACACTCATACAGTAACTCAGCAGTTGCCGCCACGGACCAGGGGCGGAGCGGCGCGGCGGCAGGCCGGGGTAAGTGAGTGAGTGACCGACAGACGCTCCCTCACTATACCTATAACAGCAGCACCGTACAAACACATTCACCACATATGTAGACAAAGCAATCCACAGTATCTCCATCGCTCTTCAAATCCCCAAACGTCACCACTCTCCACCAAGTCTCCGCAATATCCTCTCGCCCAACCACCCAGTCACCCCAGACCTCCCCTCACTGAGGTTCCTTCCCTTCCACCCTACCTGCATGTCGACCAGCTTGAAGGGCGCCACATCCTTGCGGTCGTACCACATCCAGTGATCGAGCCACTGTCTGAGCAGCTCGATCGGCGGCTGGGCGCCGTACGTCTCCTTCAACGGCATGTTCAGGTCGTCCACGAATACTACCAGGTTCTTGCCCAGCGGCGGACCCAGAACACCTGATTGAGGACAGACGGGGAGGATGGCGTGTGGTGAACCGATTGAGTGTTTTTTGATGGTGAAAGTTATGCAACTGTCTAGAATTAAGTATGACCAGGAAAATGACTGGTTTTATATGTTGAGTGGTTCAGGTCATTCTTGCATAGACTTCACCATGCTCGTACATGAGTTATGATGATGTAAAACTTGCATTATCGTGCCATTAAAAGTAAAATGTTACTGCGCACTTTGGTTCTGAAAAAGAATATAATGCATTCTCATACTCAGCTATGATGTGCGTAATGCGCATCAATGATGATGCTTTCATAAAGTAATGTCCCGGCTTACCACCCCGTTGGACCCAGCATTCCCACCGGACAGCCCTTCGTAACATACGATAAACCAAACTTCATTTCAATTACAGCGCCCTCCGACAGCGCCGTCTCAGCTCCCCACCTTTGCGCCGCTTATCCAGCTTGCTGACGATAATGTCCTGCGTCTGGTTGGCCGACGTTTGCGCCGAAAAATTGACGATAAGCGGCAGGTACTTGTCCTTCTTCATCTTATTCAGCATGAAGTTCTGCGATAGGCACCGAGGGAAGCCCGTCAGTGAGTTAGACGAGTCGTTGGTAAACACACGCACGCTAAGAGAACGCATTTCGGTCGGTTGATTGATTGCCAGTGACACAGTTTGCCACAGCCCACATGTTACAATTTTGCAATGAGCCGTTACTATATAGGATTCGACACTATCGGTTTAAGTTTAGCTGCAGAACGACGAAACGTTTAAGTGCGCAGTGAAAGCCATCGTATCTTAACGTTTGCCGTTCACTCGTATACCTTTGTGACTACCCATATGCATGACGCCACTGTGTACCATAATTGGTAGAAAAGTAACTATGGCGCTTTTAAGATTGGACGTGATTAAATTCCATCGAGCATGGCGCTTGCCGGCATGCAGTGTTAAGTCTCAAGACAACGGAATACTGCTTCGTTTAGCTGACTGTAAACGCGACCAGCTGGATACCGCCAGGCTATTTGCTATCCAACAAAAGAGTTAACAGGCACTTTACCAAGCTTACACCAGGGCTAGGAAACAGAGCCGCGGGCAAGAACAACGCACGTAAGCTAGATTATATAAAACCGAGCTGACATTAGGTGCTGCGCCTTGCCACAGTTGTTACGAGGCCCAGGGCCGTATACAAAAGCTGACCGGACCACTAACAATTGCTGGTCCACTGCGCCTAATTGCTCATAGCCATGCCAAAGCTAGTGGTTCTTAAGAAACCATCGCCTCACTATAGCTCCGGCCACCTGCACGACGCCTCGTGAGTAGGTCCTTGCAGTTACTACCAGAGATATGTACAAAACGCCGTCCTTAAATGCATTTAAGTCAAGTCTGGATAAGTTTACTGGGCAGTTTACTGATACTGGGCAGTTTTGGTGCGAGAAGTGGTATGAGCTCGAATGGCGACGCTGTTAACAGAAGATGTCGTATTCCAAGTCCACTGATATTCAGCATAGAAGCAATTGCGGAATGAGCCAAACATATGTCCTATTCAAGACAGAACTACGTATGGGAGCTACAGGCCTCACGAAGAGGCCTCACTTCCTGAAATCCTTCAAAGTCAAAACTAAAGCTATCGCCACCTAAACTAAGGACATACGAGGACTCGTATTGTACTAAACCTATCGACATCCCGTCGCAACCAACGGTCCATCGGCCCATCTGTCCATCGGTCGGTCTGTCCGTCCGTTCGTCCGTCAGTCAGTTTGTCCGTCAGTCCGTCTATCCGTCAGTCCGTCTATCCGTCAGTCCGTCTATCCGTCAGTCCGTCTATCCGTCAGTCCGTCAGTCCGTCTGTCCGTCTGTCCGTCTTTCTGACTGTCCGTTTGTCCGCCCGTCCAACAGCCTGTGTGTCTGTCTCTGCCGTTTACTACATGCATGCCCACCCGCGCCCACTTACGATCGTATAGATGCTTTTGCCGGTTCCGGTGGGTCCACAGAAGAGCACCGGCTTGCGGTGGTAGACCAGCAGACTCATGAGCTCCGTGTAGCGCACGGTGTCCACGGTGGGTACGATGATCTGGTTGACCTGGATGTCGCGCGGGATACTGGGCAGCGTCTTCAGAGCCACCGTCCACAGCTCCCAGTAGCCGTGGTCCTAGACGGAGACGGCGGGGAGAGAGGATGTGAAAGTGGGAGAGGAGATGGAGGAGGGAGAGGGAGATGGAGGAGAAAGATAGAAATGGTATAAGAGGGAGGGAAGACAGAGGGGGAGAGGGCATAGGGAGAGAGGTACGGAGCCGGGAAGGAAATGTTGACGGGAAGGAAAAGAATGAAAGGGGTAGAGTCAGAGCGAAAGAAAGGTATGGGGAGAGCGAGAGAGAGAGAGAGAGAGAGAGAGAGAGAGAGAGAGAGAGAGAGAGAGAGAGAGAGAGAGAGAGAGAGAGAGAGAGAGAGAGAGAGAGAGAGCAAAATTACAAAAAAGCCTACGAATGCTTAACGGAAACAAATAATCTCAACTGTGTGATCCCATCGGAACAGCCAACCCATAACCCAAATCCATACCGACTACGCTAATCGATCCTCGAATCAAATAACTTTAGCCCGTCGTCCGGCCTGTCAGCACACTCACATCCGGCACGAACTTGTAGTCGTAGACGCGTCCCTCCCTGGGAAAAGGCAGCAGGAAGGTGCGGCGCGGCGGCGCTACCTCGTCCATGTTGAACTCCATCTGGAACGAGCCGCCGACGATCAGCACTAAGCAGACGACGCGCCCCCCTTGAACTCCCGTGCCCCCGTCACTGTACTTACAACGACTGGGTAAGGCATAACCGAAGGTTTGTTGTCAATAGTTAAAACACTATTCTTTAGAATTGTGTTTTTCTATTGAAAAACAAATCTGAGTTCCCTGACAATTTGGCAAAATATGAGGGTACATACACGCTACACAGGTAACGGGCGTGGTTAGTTGGTAACTAACTTGTAACGTTTGGTGAAACGCGACAGAATGCACCGATATACTGATCTCAGGCGGCTTTTGCCAAATTGTCAGGGAACTCAGATTTGTTTTTCAATAGAAAAACACAATTCTAAAGAATAGTGTTTTAACTATTGACAACAAACCTTCGGTTACCCTGGTATTTCGTGCAGGTGTTATTTTCGTTGACCTTCGGGCTAGGGCGTGCTTTGGCCACAGTCCAAGGAACATATGAATTATTGACAGGTCCCAAATACCGATCCCATACCTATGTATGCCATACCATGTAAATGGCAGTGCTTACATAACACATTAACCCGCGCCCCAGTGGCGGTCTCCGCCAACTTCGCCCTAGTGGGGGGGGGGGGGCATATGTTACCACCCACCTCTAACTCAAAAACTAAGAGGGCTAGAAAGACGCGGTAAAAAGCAGTCGATAGCTCTTGATGCGTACGTTTGAAAGTATTTCGGTCATTTTTCATCTTAGAGCAATATTGGGGTCACCAGAGGTCATCAAAGGTCAAAATTTGCGAATTGTCATTATATTTTTCAGAAAACATGCCATTATCTCAGGAACTATGATAGCTAGAAAAACGCTGAGAAAAGCAATCGATAGCTTTTGAACTCTTCTTTTGATAAGGTCATCATCAAAAATGACCTCAGGTCAACGGTTTAGCCTCCAGAGGGCAAAAACTCCAAAAGTAGCTGTTTTTAAGAAAAGTGTTTTTCGACAATTACTTTTGACTAAAAAAAAGCTAGGTCATTTCTAATGCCAGAATCGTGTTCCTCTCGCCGAGACGCGTCGAATGAACTATAATTTGACCTTGAAAGGTCAACTTCAAAACTTGACCTCAGATCAAGGTCATGACCTGACCGGAAAAGGTCATGTTGCATATCAGTCGATGCGTCTCGGCAAGACAAACACAATGAGGCCAACCCCAGCGTTCTATCTTATTCCAATCGAGAGTTATTGGCAAAAAACTGTTTGTAGCCTCAATTGACCTCGGATGACCTTTCAAGAGGCTATCAGCAAAAAAGACACCTTGGTCGTCACGGGTGGTCCAAATCATTGTTATCCTGAAATATTTGCACTGTTCCTATGCGTACACACGGATCTAGAGGCATTTTCGTTTTTCTCCATTGACTTATAATGGAAAGGTCACGCCACTGACCTGACCTTAGGTCACGCATATAAAAAATCCGAGATATACAAATTGTAGGCACCCACAACATCATGTAATCCACCAAGTTTAAAACCTCTCTGACAAACACTGCAGGCTGGACATGATTGCAAACTTTTTTTAGGCTTGATCAGTTAACTTGACCTAGTGACCTGACCTGACATGACCTGGGGTCAAAAATTTCACACATTTTCCAAAATTGATGTACCAAAAGCTACCCCAAGCGGCGCGTAGCGCCGCGGTTTTTTATTTATACGAAAAAAACGCGACAGGGTGGTAACATATGCCCCCCCCCCCACTGGGGCGAAGGTTAAACTATCCAGCACTGAAAGAGGCTATACCTCAGACGTCAAACAAAGCCTTTTCCTCAATTCACTGTGAATGTCTACATTCTACAAGCACGCCATCCACGGCGCATTGAAGTACAAGTAGCGGAGCGTGTGCGTGATTCTGCTACGTTCAACAGTCAACACCCAACCACCGCCCTGAGCTTGTCGGTGGCAAGTAGCCCAGAGCAACCATCCTAAACAATGCAGTGTCGGCTAAGCTGGGTGCCACGCAATGCACTTTCAACGCCCTTCCATTGGATTAGCACAAAGCTGCCTATTCCTGGCCATCGAAAGAACACTAGCTGAACCACTTTTTTATATTTTTACAAAAGGTTTGGATGTAATAAATTAGTTTTGCTAAATGGCTATTGACGAACATGAAGGTCGATCTGTGCACTTTGGGTAAAACATGTTGCCACCATTTATTTGGGTAAAGGACTAGACGGACTCTAAATCATCCCTTAACGATAACACGCGCCCCGCTAAGGGGGGGGGGGCAGAATCTGCCCCCTCCCGTTTTTCGTCAATGATGTCCAAACGCGTTAAGCCAGCGACGTTTAAATGTCAGTATCCAGCCTTCTGATACCTTATCATACATGAATTTGACATGTTTCCTGAAAATTGGAACGAAATTTGTCGGATTTTTTTTTGTTGCAAAAATGACGTCTTAGTGACGTCATGTTACGCCATTTTCGCTTCCAAAACAGCATAACTCCTAACACTATCAGTTTTAAAGGAATTAGGATATAACAAAAAACATGTAGGTACGTGGTTCTTCTTTAACCCGGTTTACATAGGGTTTGTTGCAAGCTTATATTTCCGTCCGTGATGTTGCAAAATATGCCAATGGTGCTTAACAATTTACAAAATGATCCCCTCTAAATATTTGTAGACCACTGCATCGAAATTATCGCCAAATTAACGAGCTAGAGCCTCGTCAAATATGCTATGTAAACCGGGTTTTGTCTTTAAAATGGCTATCTCAATCATTTTTTGAAAACATTTTATTTTAACCCATTTTTTCTCAAAATTACCTTTTTTGGCAAAATCATTAAGAAATCAATTTTAATTTAAAGAGAAATAAATATATGTTTAAGAAGTCACATCTGTGCACATACATTCCAGTTTTTAGAAGAATCGGTACAAAAATGTAAAAGTTATTTAAACTTTTATGACGTCGCGACTCGCGACACAATTTCCAAAATGATTTTTTGGGAAGTGTTTTACCTCGTACAAGAACAATAATAGCCATTCGACGTGTCGTGAAAAACTGCATCAGATACCTAGACACCTTTTGGGTCTTAAAAATAACTTCAAAATTTGACCTTATTAGACCTGACCTTGACTGACCTCGACCTGAAACTCACCCAGCGTCCATGTATCCCTAATTGAGTGTG